GGGCTGTACAGTCATCTGCAACAACCAAGGGTGCAAAAGGCATTGGTCAGCCACCCCGGCTAAATGAAAGCCCTAATCTTTCAACCCTGAGTAAGCTTTGTCTGGGCCACGGCAGTTGCTAAGACAATATGCTCCGAATTGTGTTGTTATGTTCAAATGTGGGTTTTAGATGGAAAAACGATAAGAGGAAGAACAAAAACGATAACATTCATTTCGGGTCAAACGAATAGGAACGGGGTTTTTATACAACCCCACATGTCTGTAGCCACTCAGCCATGCAAGAATCCGCATGGAAGTTGCTCTCTGGCAACTGAAGGGTAACTAAATGAAATCAACGCCCATTCAAGAATTTGAAGTTGCGCTTTCTGGTAACTGAAGAACAACTAAATTAAATCAACGCCCATTCGTCTCCAAGACAATAATGCACCCGTCTTGCAAGAAGTTGCGCGGAGACTATGTGAGTATTGCCCAAAACGGGATGTCCTTGTAAAAAGCGATTCTTGCAAAGAGCTGTGATACAAGTCCAAGCTAAGGCACGAAGAAAGGAATGAGATCACAGCCCAAGTAAGCCCTGTGTATTCGTCGTAGGCTTCGAACAAAAACACAAGTTGCGAAACAGGCATGAACATGTTTGACTCTGCAGCCACATACCTTACTTGATGGGACCCTGGAATTACCAATGGGTTAGGTGACCTGATGTAACCAGCCACGAGGGGCTCTAGCGGGCTTATGAAGATGATATAGCCTATTACTGCGTACCTCCTTCATGGTCGGCATTGGCATGGATGGACGGCGACGATGCGAACCATTTACAATTGGCAATTATCCCCATAAACCTCTACACATTCCCAGTTTCCATACCATGTTCCATTTTCTTCTCCATAAGCTTTATTTCGCATTTCTCCATAAACTCCTCAATCCTAAACCCCTAAACCTACACCCCACTCCTCAGCAGTGCCCCTGGCAAGCTTCTGTTGGAAGCAGTGTAAAGACTTGGAGGGTTAGGGGGATTTAATGAGTAAACATACTTATAAATCCTATATATAAAGTACATAATAACCCCAGTTATCCCCATTGTTATCCTGCTTCCTTAGCCCGCTGACCCTCCAAGTATGGTTTAGGCTTTGTGGATGGTCATGGGGACCCTCGCCATTTCCAAAAGTTCTTTAGACCCCCACCAACACCATCATACCAGACTTCTGGGAAGGCTTTTGTAGCTACAGGGCCTGGTTTTGTAGGACTTCATCTTCCTTAAGGGCCCAAGGACTCAAATAATAGGGGTTTAGGGCCCAAATACCATTCATATTATAGTATTTGGGCCCTAAAACCCCATTAGAGTCCTTGGACCCTTAGGGCTTGCCAACAGGTGGTGACCCTCTTCGGATACTTACTAGCTCGGCATGGGCAGCGTGATCAGCTCAGCTAGTCGCGCTTTAGGATCTACCTGAACCCCAAAAGTATGTAGAATAATTGCCTTTTGGTCTATATTTAGGGGTCTTGGGCTATTATTTTACCTACTATTGGGGTCCAGGTAGGGTTTTATTTACGGGTTTAGGGTGGTTTACGAAGCCACAAAGGGGCCCTTCCCTGATTCGTGCTAATTATTGTGTGGTTTGTCCAACTTGAGATGCACATCTGCAATTCGCAAGTCTGTCCTCGTCTATCTCGTCTTATGTGGAATCCTACACAGGGGTAGGGGCGCTCCACTCAAAAACAATGCCCGAAGCACTTCTTGCATGTATGCCTCCAGCCCTGGAAGGAGATTCAAACTATGATCGAGTCAGGCAAGTTCAACATACCAAGAGTAGATAGCCGCGAATGGCCATGCAAGTAGTCTCTTTTTCAGCACCGCCCTCTGCGTTATTACGGCAAAGAAGTTTGAACGAAACTGTTATACCCCTCATTATCAAGACAGGATATTTCGCACACGGCTTTCAAAAAGCGGAGTAAAATCTCTCCTTTGCTCCTATATGGCTCCTCAAAACAACTTCCGCGCAGCAAGCTTTCCCTGTATGGCAAGGGCGGAGGCCAGGCTGTCCTGACGTATACAAGATACATGCATAGCCAATTGCCAATTGCCCTTGATGATGGTCACATTCTTCGAAGTGGGTGTATCGACCCTGAAAGACCACGCGAAAAGGGGCCGCATGGATTTCAATGATCTTTTCTGAACGATCTTGCAGCTTGAATGCCCGACGCAGGCCCTAGGCAAAAGTTCTGCATGTTCATCTCATGCTCATTGCGTGACAGGCCGCATTCTAAGCCAGGGTCTGGTCGAGGCCCTTTTTGCATTCTTTACGGGTGCTTAAGGTTTAGTAGGGAGACAAATCCCTGTCAGAGTCCCGTTTGACGCCGTCCCGGGCCATGGGCACATGCACCAGCTGCCTTGGGCTGCGCGAGAAGCTGGTGGATACTAATGACCCTTCTGAGCGTGTGGAATTCCTGCCGCAGAGCCAAGAAAGCAAACCGAGAAGCGGCTCAGAGAAGCTGCAAGGTGAGGATGAAGAGGAAGAAGAGTTCAAACTGATCACATTCAACACGACGCTGGAATTTCGCAGAGTCCGCTCAAACAGCAAGAGGCGTTGCAACAGTGCACCGGCAAAGCTTCTGGAGCATGAGCACGTCCTCACACAGGAGGAGATTGGCCCTGAGGAGAAGCCTCCAGAGACACCTACAAAGCAGGGCTTGGAGGTAGAGCGGGGTGAAGAAGACCAACGTGTAGTCCCGCGGGAGCTGGATGGAGAGGAGGAAGGCCACATGGTGCACATCCTGAACCATCCTTGCGATGATGCTTTCGAGCCCCAACCATTTACCTTTGAAATGGTTGCGGGGATGACGGCCGCAAGGCGTTTGCGGATCTGGCAAACGGTTCCAGATCGACCGCACGCCTGTGGGAACACCTGCACTGCCTGTTGCTCCCTCTTCAATGCAGCATGGAGGCTAGCAACCATGCACCCCTTCCCGGTTGGGCGGCAGCCGGGCCATCCTTCCGCAGGCAAGGATCTGGAGGTCCCGGACGACCTACCGGAACATTCCATCTACATCAACGAGTGAAACGAACTACCCCGAGGGTCCTCTTAGCTACATATTTGAGGTAGATGGGCTAGTACAGACGTACTTCCCGCTCTCAGTATTTGCTGTATACACAGACATGCGGGGCTAGGGCTGAATCCCGACCCCGTAGGCAAGGTTCTCCGTGCGTGCGTGGCTTGCATAATTCCTGGATGTTCATATGCAGGGCGCAGAATGCACCTGCAATTTCAAACAGCCAGCCGAGCAATCGCTTTGCCCAAAAACCCACGGTCCCTCCAGCTCACCTGCAAAACCATTCAAAGCATCCCAAAGCTGACATGGTAGTTCCCAAGATGGGGGGGAACCCCAATATAGACCCTAAAATGCTACAGTCCTTAATATGTGGAACCCAAAAAAGTTCCCTGATTCTGCGAAACGCCCGCGTTTACTGGCAAGTACTGGGGATGGGTTGTTGTGCCGGCCGGGGCCCAACAGAATAAAATAGCTTGGTTTTGGATCCTCTCTTTCCGGGTTTTCGGCAAGAAAACTACTATCTAGTTGCCTAGTTGTATTAGGGGAACTTGAAGGCTGTTGGGGAAGGGTTAGGGCTAGCTAGCATAAGTACTTAAGCTGGTTCTACTAGCCTTGAGGGGGCGTATACCCCCACTTATAATTACCATGAGCCTTCAAGTTTCGATTATGGCCGGGGCATATGCAAGGGTTTCATCGCAAGTTCCCTTTTCAAGCGAAAAAATCAATGGAGACAGATTACGCCACCGGCGCTGGATGGTCCTCCCCGGCGGACATTAATTCCTGCGCAAGTGTTGAAATGCTGTCGCTTAGCAAACCTGCAGCCTCCACGCTCTAATCCCTGAAGGTCCCTACACCCTCGAAAGCATTCAACCCAACGTAAATATCCTGCAGAAAGAGAAGTAGCCATGCAAGCGGTCTCTTTTCGAAGACCGCTTTGGATTTTTCAGAAAGTTGGGAAGCAAATTCAACTCAAATAAGTGGGTTGCATGGGGTAGTTCTGCGTGGCTTATCACAAAGAGCTGTTTGGAACGCACTAAAATTACCCGCAAGTGCCCTTTCCTGATGCAAAACGCCGTGGACACGGGTCATGCCACCGGTGCTGGATGGTCTTCCATGGCAGACCTCAGTCTTGCTGAAGCCTTAAAGGTCCAAATACTTAAATAAAGTGTAATTGGAGCCCACAGTACGTATATGGGAACCCATTTGGGCCCAAATTATCTTTCATTTGAGTACTTGGAACCATAGGGAAGTGTTTCTCCAGGATACAGCGAACTGCATTGAGCGCATGGCTCCAGAAAAACATCCAAGTAGGGAACCAGCGTTTTCCTTCTGAGGCTCCTTGAGGAAGGAGGACCTGAAGGCGCTCCTTATTGGCGTGGCCCCCGAAGAACGTCAAGAGACCCTGGGCGAAGGACGGGCGCAATACACTTGAAGACTCAAAGCAGGTTTTGGGGTTTGGATATTAGAGTCCCCACTAAGTTGATAGAATATGGCTTTGGGTATATTATAATAAGATCCCCGTATACGCCATATTCTATTTACTAGAGGGGGATTATAACCCAAACCTTAAACCCTAAACGTATTGGTGTTTAAAGTTTCAGGCCTAGGGTTTGGGATTGAGGGTTCGGGGCCTGGGGTCTAGCGTTTGAGTTCGGACTTGGGCATGGCGGTTGAGCCTCGACTTGGAACCTCCCCTCTGTTTTCCTTTGGGTTCCAACTTAGAGGGTCCAGGTACCCAAATTTTAGGGTCTTTGGGTCCCATCATACCATTCAGATTGTAGTATTTGGGCCTTAAAACCCCATTCTTTGGTATTTGGACCTTAGGGAAAGTTTGTTAAATTCTTTGATTTGTCAGACCCTTAGAAGACATTGGGGGTTTCAGCAGGTTTCGGTTTTGGGATCGTAGGGCTTTGGATTCGGAACACAAGTTTAGATGTAGGTGCCCCAGACCTGCAGTCCATACCCTAGAAGGTTTTCATACGATTGTTGCTGCTGTGTTTTTCAAATGATCTGGGCGGCGTCTGTCCTGTTTTTTTGCTACGGAAGTTGTCATGCAACTAACTTTTGAAGCGTTTGGCGTGACCTGAATCAGGCCGTTTCGGCCTCTGAACTTATTTTGCCGGGGTGCAGGCCCTTGCGATGTACGGTATTGTATTAGCAGGCGCCAGGTCGAATACAGCAGAAGCAGGCATTAAGGCAATATCAAGATGAGGGAGGTTGTGCGTGAAGCAGGAGTGAAATTGAAAGCAGAACAGAGGAACTAGTGTGGCAAGAGCAGGATAGCATTGCGTGGTTGAGCTGATTGTGGACACCATGGAAAGCCTCAACCCTAATCTCTTGACATTTGGCGTGGGCTCTATACCCCTCTGCTGCCCCTCTACATCCCTCTCTCCCCTTAAAGGCACTTAACGATTAATAATACAAATCAAAGCAGTAATCTGTAGTAATAGTAACAGTAACAATAAGAGTGATACTAAAGATAATATTAATATAGTAATAGTCATAGTAATACTACTACTAACAGGAATCGTTATTATATTTATAAGTATAATGCTAGTGACAATGTTGAGACATGCCCGCATGGAGGTTTCGAAGACGAGTTGGACCAGACATTCTCAGAGATGGCTACTGGGCTTTCACGGGCGTTCTACACAAGATTGGAAATTGGGTTTAGGGTCCAGGGTTTCGGTCACCTTCACAGAGGTTATGGGGGCTATATATGGGGTTGCATCGAGATATACAGGGTTAAGGGATCATGTGAGCTATAGCCTGAAAACTCTTTAGAGGGGGGTTGTATAGGGGATTAATATAGGGGAGAACTATATGACTCATCAGGGGGATACTAAGAATTATGGCTTGATAGTCCATGCAAGGTAGGGCTGAGAAATGGCTCATATGGAGAAGATAGGGATGTAAGGGTTGAGGGTTTAAAGTTTACGGTCGGGTAGATGGAAACCCATACAGCCTTGTCTCTTAAGGGGCTTGTGGGCTCTACTTTCGAGGGGGGGTAGATGGCTGATCATCAATGTCTTCTTACCTGGGTTCAGAGGGATCCAGGAAGGACACTTTGTAGCGCACGGCATCAGGCGCCTGAGGGGCATTTTGGCATTGAATGGTTCAATGGCTCAGAGGTTTTTAAGTATCCCGCAACTGCGCAACCCCACTTCGACAGTCGTCTGGCTGGTGCCTCCAAGATCAAAGACTGCCCTAGACTACAGTAGTCCGCCAAGTTGGAAGAATGTCGTCTGGGCAGTAACCAAACTTAGGTTGGGTGTTGCATTTGAATCGTGGCCAACAAGGATTTGAGGGGAAGACAGGCTTGAAGAACTACTCTCCTCCCTTAAATATTGACCCCCCGACCCAGCCTAATATATGAAATATTCCCATGGTGGTAGATAATAGTACATTTCGGCAATACTTCATATCAGCGGGGGTGGGAGGTTTTAGTATGCGAGGGCCGCGACTACTCATGTACAATTTACTTGCCTTCTGCAGGATCCTAAACATTCAAACTCGTAACCCCAAACCCTAAACCCCAAACCCTAAAGCCTAAACCCCAAACCCTGAACCCTGGATCCTAAACCCCAAACCCTGAACCCTAAATCCGAAGCCCTAAACCCTAAATCCTAAACCCTACCTGGACCCCCAAAGGTATGTAGAATAATGGCCTTTTGGGCTATTTTTGGGGGATTTGGGCCATTATTCTACCTACTTTTGGGGTTCAGGTAAACTCTAGACCCAGGATCAAGCCCGTCTCATAGACAGCGTGGATGGTTTCAAGGCGATGCTGCTTGCCGGATTCCCAGCATGCCCCCCGTAAAGCCCCTAAAGCCTGGTCCATGTACAAGGTTTAGGGTTTCGGGTTTAGGGGTTTAGGGTGTAGGGGTTTAGGGATTTTTAGGGTTTAGGGGTTTAGGGGTTTAGGGTACACGGGTTTTAAGGTTTAGGGTTCAGGGTTTAGGGTTTAGGGTGTAGGTTGAGATCCCCGTGATTCACAACCCCTATGCCAAAAAGCTTACATCACCTCTACATTCACTCCGTAGCTCCCCCTTCAGTACCAATAAGCAAACTGAAGCTGAAGCTACACCTCAAGCTGGCTTGGCCTTTGGGATACTTAGATATTTTCCCCAATTGGTTTCATAAGGACCCTATAAATTTATATTTTTCAAAGGGTTCCAAAGGCCAACCAAGCAAGGGTCCAAGTACCCAATAATCGGTCCGTACTTACCATAAGTGTGCCAAACCCGAAGTACCCCATTATTAGGTACATGGACCTAGACCCTATCCCTTAGGCACCCTGGAGTTTGGGGTTTACTGTTTAGGTGTCTCAAGCGCAGGTGTGTGTGTGTGTATTTCGTGGGGCCCGTGCGGTATGAGAGCCTTTTTTTGCTTGCAAGACTTCAGCTGATCTTAAGATGTGGTGGGCTTCACTTAGGCAGTCATCTCAATAGGGAGAATTAGATTTTCCGAAGGGTTCCTGAATTGGTCCCTAAGGATCCCCAATGGGAGCCCCCCATGATTCCTTTGTAATCCTCCTCAATCCTTAACCCTGGCTGGGAGCATCTTAGGTACCTCTTTCTACAAGATCTCAAACATGCCAACAGTCAGTGAAATGGGGCAGCTAGGGGCAGAATCCTTGTGACTCTGGTTGCGTCTGCATTTGAGTTTATCCGTCGTTGCATGTTGAAAGTGAATTTCAGGCCAATTTTCTATGCAGGAAGCATTCCTTAGTAAGGCAATGCTGTCCGAAATTTACATCTATCAATACTCCTGGTTGCATAGGTACAGTACCTCATGCACCGATGCCCTACACCCTTCCTGCATCTCTTACAGCCTCCCGCCCACATCATCAGGAGGGATGCGCCCGACCACATTTGTCTCATCAGAGGGTCCCTGATCCCAAGCAAAGTGAGGAAGGGTGGGGACCAGCAAGCACATGACAACCAACAGTGGGTCATAGATTGCTGTAAACGATACCTCAAAATGATATTTGCAATGTTTGAATACCCATACATTCTCCCTACTATTCCTGAGAGCACGCTGTTCTTACTATCAGTCAATCGCGTAGCGCATATGCAACCTCAAAGTAGCAACCCAGAAACCATCCCAAATCCCAAGCCTCAAGACCTAAACCCTAAACCTTAACACCTAAACCCTAAACCCTAAACCTTAATCCCTAAACCCTAAACCCTAAACCTTAACTCCTAAACCCTAAACCTCGATCCCTGACCCCTAAACCCCTAAACCTAAACCCACCTACTGCGCAACCACGCCAAGGCGAAGTATGGTAGCTTCTTCGCAGCTTGGGTCTACGCGCTTGACAGGGTCCGAGCCCCATCAGAGGGCGTTTAGCGTTTGGGGGCTTAAGGCAAGTCTCACGGATGAGGATTTGGGGGTTAGGTTTTAGGGTTTGGGGTTTAGGGTTTGCGGTTTAGTTTCAGGATTGAGGGTGCTAAGGGTTACTTTTGTTCAGAGAAATGCTTCCCTTTGAAGACACCTTGCTCTGCTACTGCCAGCTAGACGTCGGAAAGGGCGTTTAGGGTTTAGGGTTTAGGGTTTAGGGCGTTTACAGTAATTCGGCAAACTGCATACTTCATCTTTTGCAGTTAAGACTTAATTAAGATGGGATTTCCGAGTAGGCCCCTTCGTGTAGATTTTGCTACTCGAGGGTATGTCCTGAAAGAATTCCGGCCATTGGTTTGTGAACACCGAAATAAATTCTGGTTAGCCAAGTGTTCCCACGCTTTCTTCAAGTTCAATCTTCAACTTAATCTATCCTTTTCATAGCTTGGGGGAATTCATTAGAACCCAATATTAGACCCACAAATACTATAATCCTGATTCTGGAGACCCTCCCCAAAATGATGTTTGGATTTTGCTAAAGGGGCGGGGATGTTTGTTAGTCGGTGAAGAATTCCATTGCCACTGGTCAACCTAGAGTTGCGGAAAAGAGTTTCTATAATATAGATCTGGGCAATTTAAAGCGACCACACCCAACCTCACCCTAAATGGCGGTTAACATAGGGAATAATGCCAAAACTGGCCTTAGATAGGGAAATGAACATATTTTACACTACCCAGATAGATGCATGTGTCTCCTATTTAGGGGTTTGGGATTTAGGGTTTAGAGTTTAGGGGTTGAGAACCGGAAATTAGGATTCAGAGTGTAGGGTAGGGTTTAGGGTGTAAGCCATGAAGGGAACCCCTGTAATCCCTCTATGACCCTCTATATGTGTCGCTGGTGTTTGGGGCACCGCATGACGAGAAAACCCCAATGACCAACCTTCAGTGCCAGAATCGCTCGGGATATGGGTGGTACCCAAGATCCTGCATGGCCCCAAGCACATTACGCTGCGGAAATTGTTGGTATTCTAGCACATCAACGTTAGGGGTCTGCGTATCATCACTATTCCACACCCAAGCTCCGAACAGCAAATCTCTGATCGCTAGCTCTCAAATTCTGCCACAGCCAGGAGAGGAATGGTTTCGTGGCCAAGCAGGACGGCTAACGTGTCGAGTTCGGGGAGTTACCCTTGAGGTCCTGTGCTTCTGAAGGCTGTGTCAACGTAGCCCTCCTGATGTAGTGCCCACCTATACGCACGCGCAGACACAAACATATTCCATACCCGTTATTGAGGATCCCTTCTCACAAGGGATGGCTGGTTTTCGGTCGAACCTGCCAAGCCTAAACCTTAACCCCTCTACGCCCTACTGGGGTTAGTAGGGAATAAGGAAATATGTTATATTGGATTATATATGTAGGGATTGTCTTCCCTCATTCCCTACTAAAACCCGGTAAGACATCCTATATGTTCTTCCCAGATAGCGATGTAACGTCTTTTGCAGGACCATTTCTTCTTCCGGAAACCCCATATACGGTTCCTGCTTTACTAGATGTTTGCGTCAAGTTTGTTGTTTAACGCTGTCGTTGCCTTTGACTCAGGCACCGCAACACCTGCTGCTGTTGTAGGAACAGTACTTAAAGGTTCAGGGGTAGTTATAGGTCAGTTTTCGGATCCTCCGAACTTACTTTGAATGCTGATTTTTCTCATACTCCTACTGCTGGTTCAGTAGCAGAGACTATAGGGGGGCGGGTAGGATTCCATGCCTGAGTCGCTTGAAGCACGCAACCACATGACATGGCGACCCAAGTGCTGATCAATCATGGTCATCCAAATCACCAAACCCTAAAGCCTAATCATCCACATATGCATCATCATCGTTAATTTGTTGGAGACGGATGCGCCGACTTTCGTCTTCTGTTTGCTGTCTGCCGGAAATGGAAGAAGGGATATCTATAGTAGTCCCTACATTGTATTTCTCCAATAATGTAGGAGTTTCCACGTTCTTGTTTTACTTCTTTCCTCACCAAGAGCAAGCAGGGTAACCTACAACTCAGAATGGTCCATGTCACAGTAACATTAAACAACCCCACCCGAACTTAAACATGCCGCTCCCCCCCCCTCCCTCCAAACAAAAAAGCATGTCTCTTATGGGGAAGACTCAGCATTGGGGGTTGGGGGGCGTTGTCCTTTACAAGTAGCATCAAGGGTGAGATTGTCATGAGGACTTCGCTCTCATCTGCCGACGCCTGGGCGTCCAGAGGGCCAAGGACTGAGGAAGAAGTTCGAGGGGTCGTGCGAAATCTAAGGTCACAAACATGGGCCCCAAGATGTTGCCCTCAAGCCTTGTAGGGGCATTCTAGGCGTCCGTCGAGGGCGCCTGCAGGATATATAGTAGGTATATGGGTGGTTGTCAGAATTATGGTCCCTTTTTGGCTACCCTGAATATTAGGTGCCGTATTATATTAGGGTACCCAAAGAGGGACCATAATTTTGACAACCACCCTAAACCCTAAACCCTAAACTCCCTAAACCACCCATATAAGGATCCCAGGCTAAGGGCCCATCCTAGGGGCCCATGGTTTCAACCTTAGACTAAAGGATCCAAATGCGAAGCAACCCCTGGGCTCCTTACTCTAATTGCAATGTAGGGTAGGGTTTAAGGTTTAGGGTTTTAGGTTTAGGGTTTTCGGTTTGTGGTGTAGGGTTTAGCCTTTAGGGTTTAGGGCATAGGTCTCACAATATAGAAAGTTTCTTCGTCGGGCATCGGCCTCATAGAAGAGTTGCCGAACCCAAATACATCCCAGGCTCATTTCTTTCATTCTTCAAGTTCTTGTCGATTTGGTTCTCCATTACTGGAGAAGTCTGGAACTTGTTTGGGTCCCCTCATTTGGCCTGGTCCTGTCATGATCATGTACAATAGTTATCCAACAAAGATAGAATATTTCATGGCAGGACCCCGACCACAGCAATCTAATAAGAAACATACTTTTCACCTTTCATTGAACCCTAGCAACCCTAAAACCTCTAAACCCTAAACCCTAAACCATAAAACCCCTAAACCCTAAACTCTAAACCCTAAGTCAGAGCAGGGATCCTAACAGCAGTTAGGGTCTATTCCATAATTGGAGGGGTCTTGAGATTTCTGTGAAGATGTATAGTCCCCCTTAAGTAGATAGAAAATGGGGTAGATGGGGATCTTATGATCAAATACAGGTTAAAGGACATAGTCCCCCTAAAGTAGATAGTATGGGGATCTTATTACAAGATACGCAAAGCCATGTTCTATCTACTTAAGGGGACTATATCCTTAACCTGGCTTGACGAGGTTTCTTACCTGTGGCGTGAGTTCATGCAAGACCAGAAGGGTGGAATCTTGACCCTGCAGGCTTGGATCTGCACCTTCCTGCGCGTGTGAGCTTTTAGGGTGTAGGGTTGAAGGGTTTAGGGGTTTAGGGGTTTAGGTTTAAGGGTTTAGGGGTTAGGGTTTAAGGGTTTTGGGGTTTAGGGTTTAGAGATGAAGGGTTTAGGGGTGTAGCCACTATACCACTATACCATCTAGTATGGCACATTGTTAAGGAGCCAGGGATGGGGGGCTGTATCGGCCATATGCCAACGTCAAATCTCCCAATGCTCGATTGTTGTTCGCGATGCTTGTACATGAGGGATGATTTTTGCTAAGCCCTAAACCCTTAAACCCTAAATCCTGAATCCTAAGACCTAAACCCTAGAACCCTAAAATCCTTAATCCTAAAACCCTAAAAATCCTACAGCCCTAAAACCCTAAAAATCCTACAGCCCTAAAATCCTAAATCCTAAGCCCCAAACCCTAAACCCTACGGATTGCTTCGCAGCGTGGTGTCCAAGGTGGGAAAACCCGGAGCAGCTCTAAGGCAGCATGCGAGATAAAGAGCAGCGCCCAATGATCGAAAGAGATGTGGTAGCTTCCCAAACTTAAGGTACCCCAATATAGACCCCAGTATACTATAGTACTTATTATATGGGCCCCCAAAAAGGTACCCCTAATTTGGGGAAACCCCCATGTTTGAGCTCAAAATAGATTTAGTGTAGACCCCAGATTAATAAGCCCCCTCCCCCTATAGAAAAGGTTATAAGTTATAATAGGGATCTTAAGATTAAGGCGCTTGACTGGAGGGGGTTTATTAATCCGGGGTCTACATTAAACCGTTAGGGCTTACGGCTTTGAAGCGTTAAACCCCAAAGCTAGATTCTAAAATCGAACATCACGGGTTCCAGGCTTCTACCTCCACTGTTTTCCAACATGCCGCAATTAGGGCCATTACACTGACCCCATACGTACCACCCTCGGAGTTCATAGGTATAACCAGCCCTTAAACCCCTGTTGCGAGCCCTCAACCCTAAATCCAGAGCCTTAGAAACTTGAACAGTGGTTTCCAACTTCTTTCGCATTCCTTCCTAGACCCTTTATATACCCTAAATAGGGACCAGATAGCCCTACTTAAAGGGTACAAGGAGTGTCCTAGTTCATATTCCCGCTTCAAGTCCCTGACATAAGTCCGCATGACCGGCCAGATTTTCGACCTGGAGACTGCGCAGTCTTGGTCCGAGCTGCACCACTTGCTCCTAGAGGTGCCGACAGCAGAATGCCTCGAAAGGTCTGTCTCTAATACGGATAGAACTTGAAAATGCACATTGGCGGCTTAAGGTTGATCTCAAAGGTCTATGGCTGTGGGTGTAGGGTTTAGGGTCCACATTGGCTGTTGTTGCGCATGACTCAGTATGAGCTTCTCGCAGCCTAGCCTAGGACCTCCTGAGCCCTACATCCCAGAATCTACGCCCCCCCAGCCAACCATGCAGAATAGAAGCGGGAATAGAGTTTAGGATTTAGCGTTTATAGGGGTTTAGGGTTGAGAGTTCTGGATTTAGGGGTTTAGGGTTTAGGATTTAGCTGTAGCTACAATCACTTTGTTGATTTATCTTCCGACGACCGGGAGAAGGAAGCCATCGGCGACAGTTGCCGGGTTCAAACTTGGCCTTACCCCCCCCCCAAGGTTTCAAGGTTCAATGTAGGTGTATAAACACGTACATATGTGTGTGTACATATATATATATATGTATATATGTAATAAAGGCATCTGCAGTGAGATCTTGATAGATTGTACATCTAGATTTTAGGGCTTAGGGTTTTGGGTGGAGGGATTCAGGATTTAGGGCTTCGGGCTCAGAAGCCCTAAACCCTAAACTTTAAACGGTTGAGAGGGTTCACAAAGCGGGGAGGGCGCTTGTTCGCCAGGCCTCGGCGGCAAAACAGCAGTCGAAGGATGCTACAGCACCGGCCATCGTCCAGGTTGCTGGGCTTTACCTGAACCCCAAAAGTATGTAGAATAATTGCCTTTCGGGCTATATTTAGGGGTGTTGGGCTATATTTTTACCTACTTTGGGGGTCCAGGTAGGCATGAGGTATGTGGGTCTGTAGTTTCCTTTCGAATTATTGAATGGTTTGCATGCTCATAGAAGAATAACTCAAAGAAATTCTTGAAGATATTTTCTATTTCTAGGATTACAGGTGTAGGGTTTAGCATCTTTAGGTGTTTAGGCCTTCGGGTGTATTCAGCGGTTTAGGCCGTGGAGCCTAGCTTATTTCAGGTTAAAACTTATGTTTTAGTGTATCTAGGGTTAGGCCGTAGGGTTCGGAGTGTAAGGCTTATAGGGCCATGCCAAGAGCCACACCAATGATTTGGCAGACACCCTGAACAAGCCCAGTACATCCATGACACTCACTGGGTTGTTGGGGTTTCGGGTTTAGAGGATGAGTTTTTTGTTGGCTTTTGGTTACTCCGCCGGCTATCCCCCAATTGCAAGATATGCTTTGGCATCACGGATGGCCCTATTACGTACGTTTTCAGATACACATATACACACACGTAACCACCCTCCCTCTGTATGTTTATATAGTAACAAGAGGATTGCAACATTGGCGGTTGTGAAAGGACCCTAAACCCTAAACCCTAAATCTTAAATCGCTATACAGACCTGGGAGCTTCTGAACAAAACCGTTGATCAGCCCTAAATGGAACCTGCGTAAGCACACATTTCATAGCTCCCTATACGTGGTTTAGCAAGCGGAGGCTAACCCCACACC